AGTCATGTGTTGCCTTTCCAAATGCTGAGGACTGAGCTGAGCAGAACCCAGCAGTAATTAACACACAGCATCAGGAACAAGCTCTGCTTTTGAGATGAAGGTGAGGAAATGGGCTGGCTATTATGCAGAGTGCAGGAGACAAGAGTCACACTAATGAAGACAGGAAGGATGAGGAGCTCAGACTCAGGAAAGTGAATAAAAAGCATCAGGCTGAAACTCAGCAGCAATTTTTTTTTCTTGTTTACTCTGAAACCAAAACTGTGATTAAAAACATGCTTACAATTAATGACAACCCTCCTGCAACCCATCAGTGCTCACATGGAGAAGAGATAGCAGGGCTAGGATTAGTCACCAGCAAAATAAGAAGCTGCAATGGATGGTAGAGCCTCACAGACCCTGCTCAAATCAAACCCCATCAAGAAAGGGCAGAGGCATCATGTCCCAAACTGAGAGCTCTCCCTGAGCCTTATCATCATTAAAATGTAAGAACAATAAAAATCAGGACAGCAATTTGCATGTTCAGCTTTTCATTCTGGCCAGCAATATCACAGGACCAGCAATCCAAGCCATAAAATATGACCCAAAAGGGAACTTCTTTCCTTTCTACTTTTTTCTCAGCTGAGACACCTACACGGAGAAATCACTTATCTCCGAAGTTCCCTCTGCTCCAGCAAGCAAGAGCTGGCAATTCTTCTGTAGGCATTGAGGTCCTGATCTTGCTCCCAGCAAAGTCAAAGGCAAAATTCTCATTGTATAAAGGATCACAACTCATTTCCTGCAGGCTCAGTGAAGTTGTTCGAGTCAGTTCCCAAAACAAGCCAATGCATTTTTAAAACCACAGTTGGGGTTCTACTGTATTACAACATGACCCCAGAGAGGGTAGGAATTGCTTCGAGGTGAATGCTCACAGCTATTGTTTTAGGCTGCTGACTTAGGCAGACAAGGCTGCTTTGTTTCGCATCTGAAAGGACTTTTTTTATTTGTTTCAGGACCACACAGGCTAGAAATGGCTTGGAGTTGTTGGTTTGTGGGTGGAAGGAGGAGTGGGAGGTTTCCTCCATCAACACAAATACTGAGGAAAATCAGAGCACATGAGAAGTAGTTTTCCAGTGCCTCAGGAAGGTGGAGGGCCATCAGGGCTCCTGCCATGGCTCCCCATGGGCAGCGAGGCTGGAAACCAGGGTTCCAGGGGGGCAGGTGCAGCTGGCAAACTGCCCCTAGGGCAGCTGGGTAGTGAGAGTGACCTTCTGGAGAAGGTGGGAACCAGATCAGTGGGCACTGCACAGGAAAATGCTGGGGGCAGCCAAGCTAGGAGAGGAAGCTGGGGTTGCAGTAGGCAGCGTGCAATTTCTCTGAGCCACTAATAAATGCCAAAGAGGAAGGGAGTTGAGTCGGGATGTTGATTAAGGCCCCCCTGCTCCCTGGAGGGCAGAGGAAGGAGTCTAGTGATGTGCCTTTCGTCTGTGAAGGTCTAGAAACCTGGCAGCTGGTGAGGTCAAAGCCATAGTGTGCCACTGGCACAGCCCTCACCATGCTTTCTCCAGGTCCCCTTGGTACATGACCACCAGCAATTCCTATGGAAGCAGGGAATGGTCAATTTACTGCAGGCACAACTGCAAACGTTGAGGAAGCTGTTGCCCGAGCCAGTTTGACTGGCCCTGAATTAGCCCCCTCTTAAACACATGGAGAAATAAAATAAGTCTATCACTTTCCTATCAGCAATTTATGGAATATTAGAGTCTGGATTGGCAAAAGTCCCACTTTGCTGAACGCAAGATCGGGCGCTCGCACAGCATTTTGTGTACAATTACTTTTAATTCAGCTCAGTTACCAGTGAACTATAATATCTGCAAGAATTTTTAAATTGATCATTTTGTCAGTTTTTCTCCTTACACTTGGTCTGCCTTAGACACTTGTCACCAATTTTATTTAATTAGCACCACAATTGTATTAACACTACTTTTTTTTTTTTTTAATTTAATTATGCTCCTGCAGTACCCCAGCTTGTTTTTTGCAATTAGCGCTCTACTTTCATACAAATTAATCTCCCTGGAGAACAGCATCGAAAACAGAGAAAAGAAGAGACCTCATTTAATGAAAATAACAACATCAACTCACTATATATGTATATAGCCCTCATATGTCGCCAAACACAAAATTTGAGATTTGTTCCTCCCATACACATGAAATGATCAAGCAGTTTTTTCTGCAGTGAATTGAGTAATTTAATTTTGTCAAGGGCTTTCTGTCCTGGTCATGGCACAGAGTTAACTCTGTCTGCTGCTCTATCAGGCAATTTAATCTAAAGGGGACAAGAGAAAGACTGGTTCCTGTGTCTGGTAAACAGTTACTTTATCAGGGACTTTAAGAGTGCCTCTAACAGCCCTTTCTCACTTTAACTGCAGCCACAGAGAATTTGAGCTGAATTTAGAGTATTTAAAGCCACTGAGAATTTAGAGTATTTAAAGCCACTGGCTGCTCAGTCTCCTTGATGGTCTTCCCATGCTGAGGCTTATTTAGTGTTTTGACTGCCCTCCACATAAATGGACATGAACCTGAACCACTAATTTGTATTCCATATTGCTTATACGGGGAACAGCAAAACAGCTAATTCCTGAGAAGCAGAAAAAACAGGCCAGTTTCACTCATTATCCATCTTTGTGCCATGGTACCAGAAGTGAGCAAGAAACATGGCTTAGGAAACAGTGTTTTGCCCAGTTATTTGCTTCAAACTTTTTAAACGTCTTTTATATTAATTTGCCATTCCCTGCACTTGAAAGTCTTTCATCAAACAGAAAAACTTGTGGAAAGCCTGTATGAGAGAAGAGTACAGGGCCAAAGGAGTGTTCATGCACGTACATAGTCAAGTGAGTGGAATGGGATGAGATGGGATAATTTATCTGGAGAGATAAATTATCCAATCTCTCCCACCACAGCTGAGAGACCAACAGAGTATGTGGAGACAGTCTGCAATGCCAGTGTAACGAAAAAATGGTTAGCATGATGGCATGGTGACCCATTCAGCACAACTCAAATGTTATTTCTGAGTTTTATGAAAAAATCAGAGAAATTGGACCTAGGGTGAATACTTGAGACCATCACCAAAATCACCAGTAAATCCAAGATATGATGGATTTTTGCATGTTTCTAGCAGCTGGGTTTCATAGGAACTGATGCCCTTGCCACTGCCCTCAAAGAAAGAGCACAGCAGCAAACTCTTCCAGCTCCCACAAATCTGGCAGGGTGGCAGAGTCACCTCATCTTCAAGCATCCCTCTTAGAGATCCCTCTGGAGCCCCAGCTTACTGCACAATGAACTGAGGGCCCACAGAGCAATCCAAGCAGGGTTTCTTGGCTGAAAGCTTTGTGGTGAAAGAGAGGGAGGAATTTGTACCTGAAGCATGTTTCCTCACACTCCTTTCAGCCCTGAAACCATGGTGCTTTTCTGCCAGCCTTCAACAGGATGTGTTTGAGGAATCCCATACTGAGTAGCTGTAAGAGGCTTCTCCTGCAAATGCTTTCTGAAGTCACAGAGGACTGGAAATAATCCCCAGAGAAGGGGACTTTGGGCTGCTCAGATATTATCTCAAAACCTTTTTGTCCTGAGGAATGGTACTAGAAATTTTGCACAAAGATGCGTATACATTTGATCAGAAATACTACAAAAATACCCTTGCTATTATAGCTTTCTGCTTGCTCAAACTGTGATGGAGAACAGATACATTGAGGAAAAAAAAAAGCACAAATGGAAAGCTAGTAAAAAAAAGTGGGGATGAGTCAATCAGCTACACAGAACTGAGAAGAGATCAAAGACTGTATCAATGATTAACAGGAGTATATCAGGGGTTTGGGGTTTTCAAAGCTGACTCTTAGCCAGCTTAAAGTGAAATGTGATGTGCTACAATCTTCTGTTGTGTTTTAGAGCAAAAGAAGGTCCTGCCTAACATACATCAGCAAACTACAGGTTCAATATTTCTTTTCACATCTGCCCTCTTGTAGCTTTACTCTTTAGACGGTCAAACAGGCTATTTTGAGTATCTGATAAGCCTGCCCTAACTAGATCAAATTAACTGTCAAAGAAATTAAAGCCCAGACTTGCCTAGACATCTTCTGTGCTGTGAGATAGCTGGACATTAAAACACTGCCAGAGTAACACTTGACTTTGTTCCATTGCCACTAGCCTGTTTTTTGTTGGTTTGACATTTTTTGGTTTTAGATATATAAGACTGAAGGAAATAGATTACTTGGTGACAGAGGAGTTTTAAAAGGTAGGGAGACTTAGAGTCCTGTGGAAAAGCAACCAGAAGTTCAGCAAAAGTCTCCCTCACCGTCCCATGATACTCGCTGGAGGAGACAGAAGCTGTGAAGAGCTTGGAGAGAGCAAGCTCTGAGACAGACCAGCACTGTTCATACATGGATGAGCTGTGGGCTCTCCAGCACAGTCCTTACATGGGAGTTGCCCTGTGCCTGTGGCAGAGGCAGAGGGGCTGTTGGCTGCCCACCTTGGCAGAGACCGACATTTCTGAGCTGCTCCTATGGGCTGCAGAAACTGGACGTGTCTTGATGTGGGAAATCAGGAATTCTTTAAATCCGCTTTTTCCTTTGTGTTCCTCACAGGCTATGTTGCAATTTGACCTTAAATCAGTCGCCAGACCTTCTGTCTCTGTGACATCCACAGTATCTGACATGGGCAGCTTCTCCCCTGTTTTACCATCCTCTCCCAGCCTGCAGCAGGTTTGCCAGCATGCATATGTTAAAATGGCTTGTGCAGGGCTTTTCTGCTCCTGGCCAAAGTACAAACAAAGACCCCATTTTGTGGGGTCAGTGTGAAACGATTCCCGTGTTTCCTACTGCAGCAGTGTTGTCTTTCTAAACCTTGTTACCTAGTATGTTTGAGTAGTCCAGCGAAGGGCAGAGTGCTTGTGCCAGCGCTGCCCTCCCTCGGGACGCTTGGTGGAGGAGAGGTGGAATTTCATCCCTCTTCTCTGCTTGCCAAGCTGAGGAGGAGCACATTACCCCTCCATTCCAGGCAGCTAGCAAGCTAGAAAGCTCCCAAGCTTTCCTGAGGGCACCACTAGCACAAAAGGCTCTGGCAGTCAAACTGTAATTATTCCCAGGGGACAATCCTCCGGAAGGGCCTCATCTATCCTGGCCATCTGCCTTGGTCACAGCCAGCAATGCTCCCAGCAGCAGCAGCAGAAGACTCCAGCACACAGACACAGCCGTGCCAGGGCTCCGTGGTTCGTCTGGCCTGGACAAAGCTGTCAGGTTTGGAATTCCATGTCAGGGATCCCGGTGTAACGCATTATCACAGCCCCTTCTTCCCCGACCCCGACCCTGGCAGGTGTTTGTGCTTCTGATTCCTGGGGAGGCTGTTTTGGATTAAAACTGTGAGCAGGAGGTTTCTGCCATCCTCACAGGGCTGGCATTCCGCGGCTCGGGCACAAGCCCGGGTGATACCTCCAGCTACAGCGTTCTCCTTACCACATTAAAGCCCCACTGGCTAAAAACCCCTTGTTAGCACTTGCTGCACGGAGCAGTTGATCGCTTCAGCAGCAGAACAAGTTACTTTGGAAATTAATGACACGCTCGTTCAGCTTTGTCCTTTCTATTTGTTAACTAGTCCCTTCTGCAAATAATAAATATGGAGGGGGGGAAAAAAATCCCAACCCTATTCTTCCAGAACACCACTGAGAGGAGACAGGATTAGAATGACATCAAGTGGCTTTCAGCGTGACTTTGTGCAGTGTCAGGGTAGACATTCATGCTGCAGCACAATTATCCAGTCAATCCCACTCCCTGTGAAGTCAATGGATACTGTGCCAGGGACTTCAAAGGAAGAAGGATCATGCCCTCCTGTGCATTTTAGGGCTTTAACAGAGGTTGCTAAAAGCAGTTTTTAAACAAAATAATCCCATTTACTTTTCAGAGAAGCATACAGAAACACTAGACTTGCTAGCTGCTAAGGGAATTCAATTTTTTTCCACTTAATTGTGCTCCTAAGCAAAATGAGAAAGAAAACTAAGATCTTTTTTTTTTTTAATCTTCTGCAAAATGAAAATTTAAAAAACCACAAAGCTCAGTTTGGATCAATGAAAACCTTGTTTTCCAGTAACATCAAAATATCTGCTTTGTGAGAGATTATGTTTTGTCACAGAGCATGAAAAATGAGAATTTCAGTGATATTTTAATTAAATGGGACACCAGAATGGTCCAGTCTGACAAGGTCTGTAAGGAATGTCTGGACCACATTTTCAAACTTTTCATTCTGATGTGTTTTATTTGTAACTGAAATCCATAATTAATTGTCTTTTCATTCCCTTATACAGAAAAAAATTAATCTTTTGTGTAATTCTAACCATCATATACAAACTCACAGCTTGCCTTAAGGGAATGTTTATAAAGAATTAATAAATGAGCAACAGATACTACAGGCTTGCTACAGAAATGAATATTAGATATTATAAATGCTCCTATGCACACAGGTGTTACAGAAATTGAGAGAAGCCCATTGACCTCCTGTCCTCTATAGTAATTGATTAACCATATACCAGCCCATCTGTTTATTCTGTACTGACCATGGGCCCAACTCACTCTATTGATAAAACCTACCTCTCACATAAAGAAAGGCCATTTATGTGAGAATTACTTTGCACCAGCACCCAGCGTGACATTTCAGATGTGAAGGGCAGCTTCCACAAAGGCTTTCATAGGATAACTGAAAGGTTTGGATTGGAAGGGACCTTAAAATCCATCTCTTTCCAGCACCCCATGGCCATGGGGACCATCCAGGGTAAAGTGCCCTGTGTGAGATGCCAAGTGCAGTACCAGGAGCTGCTTATACCCCTGCTCACATCAGGCTGGGCATGGCATTGGAGGAGATGACAAATGCAAAAGGGATGGGAGCAGTGGAGAGATTTATGCACGCCAGGTCAGGAGGCTGGTAGTTCTCACATTGTCTAACTTAATGTACTGTTTAAAGGCCACTGCTTGAGCTTCATCTGTGAGATGCAGAGCTCTGATGAGAACCTGGGACATTGTAATTTATTTACTTCCAATACAAAGAGCCAGCTCCTCTCAAACCCCCTTTCAGATACTTCTCTTACACAAATGGAAACAAAAGATGATTGCAAAGCCTGAGAAGCTGTCAGGGCTCTGCTGTTCAGAACAGCCATTTCCTACCCAGCAAGAAAAAGAGAGCCAGAGAGGGAGGGTGGCAGAGATAACACACAGCACAATTTACTGCCCCAAAACAACCTCCTCGACTAAAGGCACACTGTAATCATTGGGGTGAAAATACACTCCCTGCTAACATGTGAGTGTGATTTACAGCGTGGTTTCATTCCCAGCAGAAGGGCTTTTGGCAGTCAGGAACACTGGCACATCAGCTCCGAGCTGCAGCGCGCAAGGCTGTGCACAGGCTAGAGGGGCATCTCACAGAAAGAGGGGTGCTTTCTCCTGACACTGCACAGCCACAACATTTCAAATGCATCCCATTGAAACACAAATGCAATTATGATAACGGCAGTGATGAACAGTGCACTGAAATAATTTTAATTTTTGAGATGTCCCAATGAATGCTTATGATTTACAGAAATCTTAAGAAGCTTATTGTATTAGTTCTGTTTCCTCAGTTAAGCAAGATCAGCTTTAAATCACTCTTCCCCAAGAGAGGAAAATTGAAAGCATAGGTGGTGTATATTAGAGAAGCTCAGATTTTACCAAAACCAGTTTAAATTAACACTTAAATTTTACCACAAATATCTGCTAGCTGGTTTATATATATAAACCATATATCAGTTTAAATTGAGCTCTCCTAGAGGCTTCCTTCAGTTATCACAGAACAAACTAGTCACATAGACTGCCATCTAGACTAACAATTGCTAATGTTATTGTTACTTCCCAACAGAACAAGATATGCCAGGCTCAGAGTTCGATCTGCTGCTGAAGATGTGAGAGTCTAATGTCATCTTTCAAATTTAAATACCAAAGGTATAAAGGTGAGTGTCTTGAGAAGGGATTGCAACACACGCAAAGTTTAAAAAAGAGTCCCTGGCCAGATCTAATTCTACCAGATCTAATTCTACCAGACTTTAGCTGTCCTAACCCAGCCTCTGGCTGCTTGGACAATTTCTCTGGAATACCTTTGTGCTGATTTTCAGGTGCTCTTCTGCTGACCTGTGATCCCTCTCCAGGCTCCGTGCACCTGTTGCTGGTACTGGCATCAAACTAGTAGAAATGGGATGCATTGAGGTTCCCCTGCCCCAAGAACTTTAAAGCCCTCCTCACCATCTTGGCAAGCCTGTGGCCAAAGTTGCCCCTCCCTTTCCCTGACATATGGACCCCATTAGCCCCCAGTAGCCACGTGGTCTAAGAGGCAAACCCCTGGCACCATTCCTGTAAGCATTTGTTGATTCACCAGATTCAACTGACCCTTTCAAACCTTTTCCCTTTGACTAGGAGGACCAATGAAAAAACTATCTGTGCTTCAGAGTCCTTTATGTCACAGTACCATGAACTGTCAGAGTTCTTCATGACTTTTCATAGGCAGGTGTCAATACTTTTGTAAAAGCAACATGGCTCAGGTCAAAAATAAAAATAAAGACACCACTCTGTAGGGAAGGCTGTGCTCCAGGACGGCTTTGATGAATGGAGACGAGAGATCTCTGAAGGCTGCTCTTAGGATATAAGGTTTATTAGGGATGGTGAAAGGTCTTGCTTGGAGCTGCCAGACGCAGCACATGGCAAGGCCTGAGGGCATGGGGGAGGGGAGAGACAAGGGGTAGAGAGGATGCTCCAGGAGAGGGTGGGAGTTCCAAGAGAGCGGGGATTCCAAGAGAGAGGAAGTTCCAAGAGGGGGGAAATTCCAAGAGAGGGGAAGTTCCAAGAGGGGGGAAATTCCAAGAGAGGGGAAGTTCCAAGAGGGGGGAAATTCCAAGAGAGGGGAAGTTCCAAGAGGGCATCTGGCCCTTCAGAGACCCCTTATCGGGGGCTTCAAGGTGGGCTGGAACACGACTTAGGCCAATGGGGTCACAGACACTTGATGTTTCAGGGGAGGGTTACAGGTGTGGGATGAACCATACATTTTGGGGGTTGAAATAGAACAGTCCATTTGACTTTTGGAACTATCTGTAGGTAAGGGTATTGTCCAGCCAGTAAGGGGGATTGTTTTCATCCTGGCTGTACTATTGTGAATCTTTTGCCAGGCAATTATATTTATCCATCCTTTCCAACACTACTCATAGCTTTGTTTAACAGAATAAGGAAAAATTTGCACAGAATAAAATAGGAAGTAAAGGGCAATGTGGAGCTCCATATCCTAATTCTCACTAGCCATACATAGGTCTCCATATATTCCCCTACAAAGATCTGTTGTACCCAAATCAGCCCCTACTCTTGCTAGTTGTCTCTTATTTTCCTGCAAAATCATTCTCATTTTTTCACGAAAAGGGAAACTGAGATTCAGAAAGACAAATAAAGGGGAAAAGAGCCTTGCCCAAATTCCAAGGTTGCACTTCAATGAATAGATGGCATGCTTCCAGTCCTAGTGAACACAAACCTCATAAAAATTATCCATACGAGCTATTTCAGAATTTTAATGACTGCCCGCTACTGTTATTATTAGTATGGAAACTAATATACTGCCGCAGGTAAGTAACAGCAGTGGCCCTGAGGTGCAGCATTAAGAGGCATCAAGCCAAATTTGCTAAGAGTGTGCAAAGAGTAGAGCCACAGCTCCATACCATACCATACCATACCATACCATACCATACCATACCATACCATACCATACCATACCATACCATCATATTCTGGTCCAGTGTTCCCCATTCAGCTTGTTGCCTCTCTCTAGCTGTTTCCTACACAAATACAGTCATGTGTCATTTACCCCAAAAGTACTTTTCTTCTATTGATCCATTTCTCATTTATCTTTCTTCATGTAAATATAAGGTGATTGGGTAATTCACGACTACTATTACAAACAGGTAATCATGCTGAATGAGTGAATTAATGGTTTATTTGATGTTAACAAATCATCTGTTACTTCCTTGTATATGTCATGGGAAAAGCTTCAGAGATGCCTAGAGGGTTAAATTCCCTCATCAGTGGCAAAGATCCCAAAAAAAGCTGCTTACATTTGAAGGTCTGGTAAAGTTGGGTCATCATCCAGGGTCAGCTGTACTTAGAATGTGGAGAGCTCAGACCGATGTGTGCCACATTGGTTCTGCAGGAAGCTGGCAGGTGAGGGAGGAGGAAGACACCTGTATGGCATGGCTGGGCTCCAAGAAGATCCTGGTGCTTTCCTGCATCATTGGGAAGCACCACAAGAATCAAAGAGCCAAACACCAGAGTGAGCACATGCTGACTAGAGATTAATTGTGTCCACCAGAGATGAGTGGTTACATGGACATGCGTGTTTCAAATTAATGAGGCAGTTACTCGTTTCTACAATTCTTTAAAGGAAAGGTTGCAGAAAATTAGGGGATTGCCTGAAAAAATCAAAAAATCAAAACAGCGTTATTTCTTCTGAATGAGACCATGTAAAGCAGGCAGGAATAGACAGATACCTTTTCATGAACAAGAAACTTCACTGAAGGTCTCAATGGACTCAAGAAAAAAGTGCTGACAAGAGCCCACTGGCGTATAAAATGTGTGTTATTCAAGACACCCAGATTGTTCTTCTTTTGCAGAACATTTAGCTCTTCTAAGAAGCCTTCAAAGAAGAAAGCAGAAAAAAAAAAAATAGACAAAAACCCCCTGCTACCATGGCTCCATAACAAAACATCTCTTGTATGATGCCAGCTAACTATGGTGGGCATGGCAGCAGTTGGACACCATCTTAACCACGCTGATCTCCCATGCAGCCAGGGAAACCAAATCCTCCTGGTGCTGCTTACAGAAGGAACAGGGCCTCTTCTTCCTGCTCACCAGTAAATTGATGCCTGCTGTTGGGAAGGCAGTGGGTGACTTACTAGAGGGTGAACCAGTCGTTTACTCAATCCTGCTGTGCTGCATAGGAGAGCAATGCTTATGTGTTTATACAAATGAAAGCTGCACTGCCTTGGATTGCTGCCGAAAATGAGGAAGATATTTCCACTCAACCTTTTAGACTAACTTTCTTTTAATGTTTTAATTCTGTTTGATGACCTAGTCCAGCCTGCAATTTCATGTTCCTGGAGGTACTGTAAAAGTATAAAATAAAAAGACAGGCCCTATGTCAAGGAGTTTACAGTCTAAACACAAGTCAAAATGAGAACAGATGAACAGACTAAGTAGGGAGCACAGCTGAGATTAACCAGGGATAAGATACAATAGAGGAAGAAGTGAGGATAAAAGACTCAGCCCGATGAAACCCATACATAAGTTGGAGGAAGATAAGAAGGTCCTCCAAAGGACGTGCTGAAGGAGATTAAAGAGGTAGGAGGAGAGGCAGGAAATTATAGCACCATGGAAGCCAAAGCAGAAGAAGTTTTCCAGAGGAGCAGCACTGACTGTCTCGACTGGGGACATTTTTCAGTGAAAGTTCAGGGGTATCTTTTGCTGTAAGCCATCAACAGGAAAGGGATTGTTGGTTTTGGGGTTTGGTTTTATTTTACTTTAACAGCGATAGGGCTTGAGAGATTCCCTACAGCATACTCTCTTTATAATCCTTTTGGGATTAAATAACTCCAGACACATTTCCCCGAGGGCTGGATCCCCTTTCAGTTTGGCAGGCTGGATAGGCAGCTGCAACCTCTCCCCAAAGAGGGAAAGGATGTTAACTATCTCCCTGCCACAGATTCCATGGCATGCCTGACTTCCCTTACCCTGGGATCAACCTGAATTTTACTTCTAGGCCATCTTTGTCAAGCAGAGGGGTGTGCCATCATCCTGTGAGAAGACAAGGATCCAGTGGACTTTGGCACATCCAGATAGGAAGCAGAGGAACAAATGGCCAATGGAGCCTCATTTCCAAATGCCAAGTTGAATGCTGCAACCATGGCTGCTCCATAGAGAGTCAGGAAGGGAACAAGCAAGCAAAGTATGTGTGTAGATGAACATTTCCTTCTGTAATACATGTATATTCAGGACATTTAGACTGTACTAAATCTCTGGGGAAATGAGGCCTGTTTTCCTGGGATGAGACCAGAGGAATCTTCTCTCCTGCCCTGACAAGACAAAGCAATCATGAGAATGCAAAACCATATCATCTAATCAGATATGGAAGCTTATTAATTTACCCCAAATTACAAGTGTCCTGTTAGGGATGCTCTGCTGCATGGCACAAGTGCAGTCCAATCCCATGGATTTCACAATATATTTCATGATGAGTCAGTCTGGAGGAAGTGCATTGAAAGCTGAACTTCCCCAGCTCAGGGATCATCAGATTTATTTCTCTATTAAAAAAGAAAGCTTCTATTTGCCTCAGTGAGGAGAAATCCAGTCTAACCCAAGTTTAAATCTTCTCTGTATTATTTTAGTCTTTCTGTTAGCAGCTTTGCTTTATGTCTCCTTTCAAGAAGCTCCAGTCTTACAACATGCTCACTTACTCAGGTTAGTGAAAGTGTGTAGCCAGCAATGAACCTGTCCAATACCTGCTAGGAGAAGGGAAACGTGACAAACCAGCAATGGTGATACATTGAATTTTGCAGGGATGCGATGGAATCACCTACCAAGACAGCAAGGGAGAATAGGAAAATGAGCCTTGTGCTCCCTCAACATAATACCTTGAGGGGAATAGCTAGGGTAATAGTTTACACAAGTCACTAAACTTCATTAGTTGAGGAATAAGTAAGCATCGGTAGAATCTGACCAGACCCTGCTCTTTGTTGGTTTCATTCTGAGAGCTCACACTACTGGAAAACAACAGAGCAGGAGGCATGTTTTTCTTATCTGAACTGGAATGTCCCCATATGGGGACTCACATCTTTCTCCATTCTCAAGCCAAGCAGTGTGTGTGGGAACTCAGCTATCGCTGCTTCCCCTTTACTGCCTAGATGGGGGGAACCATCTGTAAATT